GCTAACTGATGTTTCTGTTGTTCAGATTTAAGGAAGTGTTTGGACGGCCGCGAGAACAGCAGCGAGGCTGAGCCGACGCCGCAGAGGGAAGAACAAGAGGACGATGAAACTAGGATGTAACCTTTGACCCAGGAAGTAGGGAAAGAAAGACACTTGCACTTTTACCAACACATGTACCGCGACATGTCTGCCTGAACACACACATCTATGACCTGCGTAATGTGTGCCTGAGTTAGTCCTGATCTCTTTGCTGCGGAAACAGCGAAAGTGAAGAGGGACCATGAGCAGTCTGGGACTGGACTCTAGAGATGATATTAAATTAGGATCTAATATATAATTTAAATATATTAAGCAAAAACTGTCAGGAGGGATCTTTGCAATTGTTCTTATAAAAAGGGGTTTATATAATTCAGCTGTTTTTAATCAATCATAATACAGTTATAACATGTTTTTACAAAAGTCTAAATCACTATTTTTCTATTTTTTCTATAAATATGTTTATATATTGATACAATTAATGTAATAGCTTAGATACTAATACATGATTGATTCATTTCCAAGTGATTTCATATTTTGTTAATATAAAACAATCTTTAAATTCAACAATGTGTGTGAGAAAGAAAAACAAGTCAGAAATGCACCCATAAAATTTCTTTTATTTTTTTTTCTTCCCACAACAAAATGTCTACAAAAGCGATAAAATATAGTATTTAACAAAAATCACTTCAGACCTTCACATTGTATATACATGTCAAAGGAGGACTCAGTAAGGGCCCTGCATAACTCTGAACTTCAACCCACGTTGATCCATCAAGTGTGGGTGTTTGTGGCTCTTCTTAATGCAAATGCACACACACACACACACACACACACACACACACACACACACACACACACACACACACACACCTAGACACACTCTTTCATTCTCATGTGAAAATAAAAAAATCTACAGTACAGCTGATGGATTAAAAGTAGAGTCAGAGTTCAGAGTTCAGCAGAGATCCCTCTTACCAAATGAAAAAAAGCATAAATGTAAAAACTGTAAGTGTAATCAAATACACTTTTTCATGTAGTTCCCCTTTTTTGATTGGTTTCTCAAGTAAACTCACACAGTAAAGCATCTACGCCCCACTCTGCCAGTCCTTCCTCTCCTCACTAGCTATGGCACTTTGAAACAAAAAAAAGTCGCATTTTATTGTTTTTTTTTTTTGTCTTGTTTTGTTAGTCCTGTGTAAAAGAGGTTCTGTAGCCTAAGCACCTTTTAGGTTTCGGTTACAGTTTGCTACATTTTGTTTTATTTGCTCTTGCTGGGACGCAAAGACATTCTAAACAATAAATTAACAATTTTCAACACTACTCCAACTGCACGCATGGGTAATGTATCGAGAACGTTTACAAAGCATTGGTAGAGCAAACGTCTCATTCTCTCTGTCACACACACACACACACACACACACACACACACACACACACACACACACACACACACACACACACACACACACACACACACACACACACACAGGTTTTCTCAGGAAAGGGAGGAGGAGGCTTAGGGTGGAGTGTATTTATTAAGTGTAGGAAATGCATTTCAAACCAGGTGTATTAAAATGTCTGCGCAATTTGTCGGAGCCGTCACTTAAAACAACGACTAGTTTTATTGTGCGATTTGCGATGTCATTCTGTGTTGATGGAGTGGTAAAGGCGCGTGATGCGTTCAGCCCCTCACACTGAATAGGCTACTCCATAACATTCAGAATAGATTACCCCCCTCCCACCCACATAGTTCCCTCCCACCGCAGGTTAAGGGTCTCTGATCCGGTTCAAAAAGGCCAGTTCAGAAAGGGCCACTCACTGGTTAAACCAACTCACACATTCAGCGGTTGAGAAAAAAAAAAACATTTTAAATCGAACCACAAAGTTTAAATTGGTCGTGTATAAATAAGAGCATTTTATTTAAAAAAAATCTTCCAGCTTGTGAAAGGAATCTGCTTTGAACTGACTGAATTTCTCCTGCGCCGCCCTTTCCGAAAAACCCCTCCCAAGAAACTAACAATATCATGAGAAGAGAAAACACAAATAAGCCCCAAATGTTTCATTGCAGTGAAACGTCATGCAAATAGAACAGAACAACAATAGGCTAATAGTAATAGAAGAATAGTAGTCATAATAAGAACAATAATAATAGTAAATAGTAATAAAATAAAAAATAATCTTACAATGCAAACATGACAGTAGTAAATGCCTCCAGTTCTTATTGCTACAGTTTCTTACTTACAGTGTTGCGTTGCCACTTTTTCTTGCCAGCACTTCCCCTCTCATAACCCCATCCCACCCCTCTGATTCACAGTCTAACAAGGGAAAATAAAAGCATCATACACAATAAACTTCATCATCAGAGTTGGAATTCACTGTCCCCGGGGTGTTGTGATGGCGCTTGATTCACAGCTTACCAGTGGACTTCCCTCAATGTCCCAAAAGCAGCAAAATAAGCAGTAAACATTTTTTTTTGTTATTCTTCATGTGCTACGTAACAATGCTTGTCATATAGTCTGGGCTCTAAAGAGACTTGGACAGTGAATTCATGCTCTATACACACATACACACAGACACACACTTAGCAAAGCCTTGTCTGGGCAGATTCCATTGCCAGCATACTTTGGCAGCGTATGCCATTTCTTATCCTAAAAAGTTTCATTTTATAATTACATTTTTTTTTGTAAATTTGCAAAAATATTCAACCCTCTTTTAATGCAAAGACAGAAAAAGAGCTGCTCCCTGAGAGATGCAGTAGTGCATCGAGCCTTAATGAGCAAGTGATTGTCTTAAGAGTCACTGGCCTCTGATCTGGGGTCGGGTCAGGGGTCGGAGGAAGGATCCTGTGAATGGATCTGAGCTGATCACAAATGTTTTACATTGACGCTCACTCCCCATGCCGTCAACCTCGTTATGTTGACTATATGGATATCTAAGGATGCAAACGGTAATGTTCAAGTGTTTTTAATGTTAATAAAAAGGATAACTAGTCTGATTGTGTCCATGCTTAAAGCACATTGAGGATTTGGCCACTGCGTATTTGCAACCACAGACAAATCATATCTCCACCTTTAGTGCACGAACAACAATAGATCATTGTCCACTAATCATAATTATTAAAGTTAAATAAAAAATCTAAGTTCTGTCTTAGAATTAGATAATCCTCTTGGCAAAATTGTCATTATATCAAACAAGTAAATGTTCTGTAAAAGCACAATCAGCTGATTAATGCTGTGCTTTTATTTTGTAACGGGTCACTTATTTTGGTAAATAGCTATTTTTAAGGGGAGTTTGTTATAGGAGATTTTCTGTAGCGCATCATAGATCTCTATACAAAAGTAAGCATATAGAGAAATGCAAAAAAACAGTGATAAATACCCAGATTTTACACAGTGGCCAAATCACAGTCAACCGAACATTAATATAGAAAAATCTGCGAAAATCTGTAAGTGCTAATAATTATGGAATGACTAAAAGAAAAGCAGAAAAGTGATTGTCTCTCAACCGTCTGTGTGAATCGTCAATGTAATATTGCAGTATTTAAAGTGTTAAAGATCCTCGGAGGCTAATCTTCATTCCTTCACATATTTCATTTTCAGTGCTCTGCGTTGTGTCCTAACCCCAGATCCTGGTACGTCACATTAAAAACACTGCAGATGCTGCGGTGGAATGAGTAACATCAATAGAGATGATTGTTAGACATAATAAAGGATCAAATATAGTGCAATCTATTTAAAACTGCTACCCTGTTTTGAACAGCTGGAAATAGGAAGAGAAGGAAAAGGAGGGATCAGAAAGGCAGTGGAAAGTTATTATTGCTCTTTAGAGAAAAAAGGGTCCTTCATACTCTCAGCCCGGAGTGATTGACATCCACGGACTGATTTGTGCAAATAGTGATTGGAGGGCATACAGCACTCATACAGGTTTTTTTAAGATTGAAAAGTTGAATTCAAGCTTGTTTTGTTGTCTTGTTTTTTTGGTGGAACTTCTATCCACTTCTTCATTGTGATTTCTAGCCACTTCTATTGGCTGAAATCTTATGTCACGGACGTAATACATAAGAAATAAGGGGCGGGGTAAGGGGAATTTGGGAAGGGGTGGGGTTGATTGTGAGGTCCTAGTTTCTGATTGGTTGTTTCTGGTTGATTGTTCGAAAGCAGTCCATCTTTCATTGGACGTAATTATTGCAGCGAGAAGAAAATGATTGATAGGATGGCAAAACTGCCAGATTATTTTTTCTTGCAAAATAGAATATTTATGTATATATCTTCACCTTGAAAAGTAATAGCCATTATTTTTCTTTTTAAATCCTTCATATGCTCTCTTTACATTTCTATAAGTTCTCATCAGAAGGATGCAGTACCTTCTTTACATATGAACAAAATCCAGACAAGGCTTCTATATATCAACAAAATCCGAATCGTCTCCTGGTTTTACCCAATATTCTTTTACAAGTCTCAACTTTACAAATTCTGTACACAAGAAACTATCAAATAAAATAAAAACACATAGACAAGGTATAGTCAGCCACAGTGGACTGCTGTATAGTTAAATTAGGACTAACTTATTTGAACAGAACACGAAGTAATACTGGAATCCGCTCTGCACTAGAAGAATATCTACAATAGCTTCTCTAAATCCACAGTTCCCTCCCCCGTCCAGCGTCACAATTCTTCACTCGAAAATAAAAGAACAAACCAAAAGGATTTTTTTCAAAGGTAAAACAAATTAACTTACCCATTTTTTTTTTAAAGATTGACAGGTTAAAATTGTTCCTAGATGTTTTAAAGTCTGTACATTTCTGGTCAGTCAGTCAGTTCAGTTCAGGAGACGGGAGGAAGCCCCACTTAAATTGTGGCTTGGGGCGCGTTTCATTTATATATACATTCTTCAGACTGTATCGGTGAACAGGATGGAATAAGTGCTGGACATTCCTAGTATTGTTGGCGGTAACTGTGAGTTCCTGGCAGGTAGCTCCTCACCCCCCTGCTCGTAATGAGGCTCGGGGAGCTCAGGAATATGTGATTGCCACGATGAGGACATAGTCGTCATGGCTGATGACGTCTCGTCAGACGTGTCTGTCTTCTCATTTTGTTGGTCCTCCGCTGATGCTGTTTCTTGCATTGGGACCACAGGCAGTCACTTGGGCATGGCCATGACCCCAGAGTTGGGGTCAGGGTTGAACAGTTCTTTGTAGAGCGGAGGGAAGAGGACGTTGACTGTTTCTGGGTGGAGCTGCTGGAAGGCCTGGAGCTCCTCGGTGTGGAGCGTGCACAGGGCTGACAACGTTGGGATTCGGCTGATCAGCTGCAACACAAGAGAGAGAAGGTCAAGGACAAGAACATTTTTAGACTAACTGCAAACAGGGTCAGAAGCATTGTTGGGTTTTTTCCTCTTCTCATTGCCACATGGATGGCCTACCTTTGCCAGTGCATCTTCGTCCATGTGGTTCTTCTGCATAATGTGCTGCAGAGCAAAGTAAATCTTCTCCTGGAGCTTCTGGACTTTCCGAGGCTCCATCAACCAAGGCCGATCTGAGTATGAAAAAGGAAAGAATTGTTGAATTCTTTAAATACTACATTTCGTACGATTAGACACGTGATGATGGATAGCTGTTCAAAAGGTTAATATGGCTAAGAAGCTGCTGTACATAAATAGTAGAACTACTTGGAGTTAATTGCTTGTGATAATGCCGACCTGACAGTAATCAATGTTTTTCTCAATACCAAGTCCCTTATTTCAATGCAGGCATTGAGGTTCACAAATGTTGCTTCCTGTATTCTAATAATATTAGGGAATGTGCACTGACCTGTGGAAATGAGTACAGCTGCCGAGAACAGAGCGATCTCCTCCTCTGTCAGCTGCAGTGCACACAAACTCTTGGCAAAGTCAAACACGGCACTCACTAAGTCATCGCAACCTTAGAGGGAAATGCGGAGAAGAGGACAGAGAAGGGCAGACAAAAAAAGAGAGAGATTTTCATTACTCTTATTCCGGTCATGTACTGTATGTGCTGCAAACCAAAAATAGCTCTGAGGGTAGAGGATTGTTTTTTCATTTAATTTCCATTTGCATAGGTAATAATATCTTACCTAGAGCTTTGAACATCTGCATGCCGCCGTACTTCCCTTCAAAGAGCACAGTGTTGTTGAGAGGGTTGAATGCCCTGCACATCCGCACCAAGACTACCTCCAAACAACCTGGAAGAACAACAGAGATCATTTGAAGCTGATATAATGACAAAATGGCACATTAAATAAAGTGTCAGACTTTTAATGTGACAATGTCCCGGACCCATTATCGTCAGTCGACATCTTAACTCACCTGACTTGAGCAGGAGGATCTGGTCGTTCTGGCACAGCTCCATGAACCCCGAGATGCGCTTTGCAAACTCCACCACATACTGGATGGCATGGGTGATCTGGATGGCACACTGCTGCCACAGCACGTCCCGGGGCTAGAAACAAACACACCCAGGTTCAAATGACATGTTCTGTACTTATGTGGTTTAATTCATGCCAGTAAATGAATTTCTCTCACACACTTATCAGTTTGTTGATGCTAAGAATACTGTGGCCAGAAGTGTTTAATTTTCTTGTGAATGAATCAAAGAGGACACACTGAAATGTATTTAGATTACCACTAATGAAATAGCTTTTCTTGGTTTTTCAATCATCATTTTTCATTTTACTAGTATTGCTGAAGGCACAAAAAAGTCAAATACATGACAGAACGAGGAAAGGAATAGGAACATTTCATTAATTTACTGAATAAGAAGATAGTTACATGGTGCATTGTAAAAAAACAAATGTGGGCACAGTCTGTACATGAAGATGTGATCACATCAAAGCTCACCTTGCCCTGGAACATTTTGACCTCTTCGTAGGAGTGTGTCTGCCAGGCTAGCTGCTGCAGCTCCTCTGTTGTGTACTGACACGTCTCCAGGTGAGACTTGATGATATTCTGAGCAATACGGTCTGGAAGAGAGGATTGTTCATTTATTCATTTATTTCTGTACCGTTCTACATTTGATTCTGTGGTTTAAAGCATGGGTGGGGCCAGCTCAACAAATGAGTTTTCTGCAAATTGTAGGATTGCTTTAAATATCTTTTTAAATGAATCAAATGTAACTCCAGTTTATTGAGTAAATTGGATATTGAACTGAACCAAAACAAATTATTGTTACAATTTTAAGTGCAGTTTTGTACTAGTAGTCTCTTTCAAATACCAATTAAAATATATCGTATAATGTCTTTCCCCATGACGATACAAAAAATACATTGTGCTGCCCTAATAATAAATATGATCTATTCCCCATATGTTGAAAGCTTAGAGGAAGATAAATAAACTATTGTCTCTTTTTACATTTACTTCCTAATTTTACATTCTCTTGGATATGAGTTGAATCCTAAACCTTAACTCATTCCTAACGTGTTTTTTATACATTAATATGACAGCTGTTTTAGCCTGTGTGACCAGTTGTGTTTTGATTTTAGGTTTTAGAATATAAAAAAGCTAAATATAGTGCAGTCTTTACCCAGCTCTCCCATGCTGACGTTGTTGGGTCCCAGCTGAATGTCCTGGTAGCCGCTATAGCTGAACAGGTTGGGCACCGGCGTCAGGTCATACACCGGCTCCTGCTTAATGTGCTTCATGCCCGACATGTCCAGCCCTGACTGATCCGGAGACGGCTGGGTGGAGTCTATCCCATAGTATCCCCCTGGGACTACGGCTCCGTTAACATGGCCACCCTTGGGCAGCTCAATGACGTGACCATTGGCATAGGTGCCCCCAATCTCATGGTTAAGGGTGGACAGTCCGTTGGTTAGGCTGGTCGAGTAAACTCGTGCGAGTGCTTCTGCCTCGCCTGTCTGCTGCTGCCGCTCCAACAGCAGCCGAGCCTGGTGCTTCTGCACCTCTGCATACAGGCTGTCACGCTGCTTCTTTGACATGCGGCCAAACTTTACCGCTGTGCGGGGGGAAGACAAAAAAAGGGGAAAGATTAACAACAAGAAAAAACAACCTTTCAGCTTCTTCAGGTAGAATAAATCAGTAAGAAACAAGCAGTGTAAAAACATATTTGGAAGATTTAGCGTTACTTATATTAGTAGGAACCCATGTTTGATTGTGCAGAGGTCCTGCCAGAAGGTAAATCATTTTTTACCAAAGACAGACAAACACTGAGGAAACCTCTTGCTGTTAAATTGAGTTGTTCAATTATGGAATATCATGTTTTGTATGCTTATTGGAAAGCTAATTTGTGTTTAACGGGAAACGTATCATCGTATACTTATTGTTTCCGACATTTCATTCATCATGTAAGGTAATCAAGTGTCACCAAAGCAGCATCTCAGTGGCTTAAAGCTTCTGCTGTCTTTGCTACGACAAACAGCATTCTAAGTGTGCATAGGGCCTGCATGCATGAGTGTACATCATGCATCACATATGATAAGTCAATGATCATTAGATATAGAAACTCATGTACTGGGCCTCACCATCTCTGGACATTCCTAGGGCGAGACATTTCTGCAGGCGACAGTGTTGGCAGCGGTTGCGGTTTGTTCTGTCGATGAGGCAGTTCCTCTGGCGGGGGCAGGAGTAGGCAGCATTGTTCTGCTGACTCCTTCTGAAGAAACCCTGGTCACATGTCAAAAGAGAGTATAAGTAAAGACGTACAGGTACCCTTAAAAGACAGAATGTGCATGATTACAAAACAGGCTTTGATGAAAAGGTGTATGGATTCTCACCTTACATCCCTCACATGTAATGACTCCGTAGTGGATACCTGATGATTTGTCTCCACAGATTTTGCAAGGTATGACCTCGATTTGGGCTGCAAGTAAAGTGAGAGGACACAAAAGATGTGCGTTACTAAACATGTCTTTGTACAAGCCAACGAGTTTTTGTTTCCTAGTTTCGAGAGCGACACCTGACTCTGTCCCCTCTCAGGGTTTTGCACCTCAGCTGGTGGTCTAATTTGAGGCTGAGAAACAGAGCATAACCTGGTTGGCTGGGGGACTTGACTGAGGTTACGATGTGTCTGCGTACACGATGTGTGTGACTTTAACTTCACAAGGACACAATGACATCTGGACATTCTGTATGTCCTTGTAGGAGTTTCTTTTCTAAGGACAATGACATAGAGGACTGCACACACACATAAATGACAGTGTAGCATTAATTGTGTGTGTCGGTTGCTTTGAAGGAGAGACTCCTGCAGGTTAGAAAGGTTGCCCCTAATGAGAAACCAGTTACATCACTGAAGGACCATGCTGACTCTTCAGCTCTCTTTTTCTCTCTCTTTCTCACACACACACACACACACACACACACACACACACACACACACACACACACACACACACACACACACACACTACCCTTAGTATAGCTTTCTTCTCTGGCAAGATTTTACTCACTGTGTGTTGGCAGATCCATCAACTGTCACAACCAAAGGCACAGACTATGAACAACAGAAGTATTTCAACGTAAAACGCATATACGCCTATCACTAGTGTTTTTGCACTTATTATCCATAATAAATGTAAAGAGAGAGCTGCAGTTCCGTAACTAAGATATGAGATGGATGTAGAGGTGGCACACCCATAAAGAGATTAGACATCTAATCCTAAATTATTTTCCGACAAGCTTGTTCCCTCCTCTGATGACCACGGGCTTAGCCATAGCTAAAATAGCCATTGACATGTAATCTCCTTGCATGGTCCTACCTGAAGAAAATTCTGCAAGTGTGAATGTTCTGAGAGGAACAGAAAATACACATTTTGCGGTATTATATTTATAATTGTGCCTAAATGATTCCCCTTAAGAATAATACAATAATTGCAAGGTGGAGTTGGTCTTTTTAGATGAGTGTATTTGCAGTTTGCGTCCCTGTATGCATGTCTGATTGGGTCTTGAGTCTATGTGCACACTGCAATAGTTGCACCAAGCAAGTGTATATGCTTTGTTTGCAGAATGAATTGTGTGTGTGTGTGTGTGTGTGTGTGTGTGTGTGTGTGTGTGTGTGTGTGTGTGTGTGTGTGTGTGTGTATATAATACAGCGTCTCGGGAGGAATGACTGTGCGGTATATATAATTGGATAATCCCAAATGAGGATCAATGGAAACAGTCTAAGCAACTGCAGGAAGAGTCACTGTTGTCTATACACTATATCTACACCTCAGCCTTGAATAATTCACAATCAAAAGTATTATTAAATGTCTGGACGTTTTTAAGCAAGTGCCAGCTGATTCATATGATCAATGATCAGTACGTTTAAGATTTTAAAGGGATATAAAAAATGCAATAATTAATTTGTTTGTCCTTTCATTGCTACATTCACTTAATTATCTTCCCCCTAGTGGCCTTCAGGATGCATTAAATGTCTCAAAACCACAATCTGACCTGTAGTCTGACATGACCCTGGACTATGAACTGACTTTCATGTGTTTTGCATCATTCTTTGTTAAAGTTATCTTTGTAGTTGTAATTCAGATGGGACTATGCCATGTATTTGTCTCTTGTGAAACCAAATTCACACAATGTACCTTAACAATAGATCATTGTTTCCCCTCGGAACAGATTGTCTGGGAATCAGTGAACTCTGACCGTGTGCTTTAAGCAGCGTAGCTCATGCAGTGAGTTCTGGTGCGGCTCAAGACGTGACCCATTTCCACCAATCTCGGCCAACTGGCTCCAAACTGGGTCAGAGCAGAGCGGCGCACCGGACTGGGACGACACACAGACTACACATACACAGAGCTGTCAATGATCTTGGCCCGAAACGCACTATTTATAGTCTGTAAAACAGGTCAGTTGCACCCAAGACTTGGCTGTTATCAACAGACCATATGAGCAATAAACAAATGCATCAACTGGCTTCTTATCACCTTTCTTCTTACTTCATCTTTTTACTGAACTCTTTGCGGTTGTATTCCATACTTTTGGACATCGGCTTTGATCACATTTTTGATCACAAAACAAGTAAATCTCTAAGGGTTTAGACAAGCTTAATGTGTTCAGCCCACACCTTACTGCTGTTATGGGGATATACATACTTATTATTTTTGTTGATTTCTTTAAAAAAAGCTCTTTACATTTTTCCACCTTGGTGTGTATACTGTTTGTCTCCAGTGATTACATTATACCTCCACTGTTATTGTTTTTACCCCATTGGAGATTGTACTCGTCTTTGTATCATATAAATTATGCCCGGAGGAGCATGGGTGTGTGGGCAAGAGCATTGTTTTTTAGTACGTGTTTCCGAGAGGGTGGGAGTGAGCGTTTCACTTATAAAAAAGACGGAGGGGAAGATAAAGTATGTGCATGTGTCTATGTGTGTTTGACAAAGTGTTTGCATATGTGTTTGTGTGTGTGGGTGTGTGCATTGTTGAGTGTATGTTGTGCTCATTGCCAGCGGGGTCTGTCAGGTAGGATATAGGGAGACGGTCATGACAGCATTGCTGTTGCCAGGGTGACCACCCACTCGCTGCAGTCGTCTGGCTGTCACGGCGATGATGTGCTAAGCTGTCACAGTCTTAAAGGAAGTGATGTCATCAGTGTGTGCAGCCAACTCGGTGCATCATCATCTCTGTTCGTGCGGTCGCCCTCTCCCAGCAGCGGAGGCTTTGTGAATTGTTTACCAAAGGACTCCCACTTCCTCATCCAGTCAACAATACATGCTTACTGCCTGGTAACACTCTATATGCAATGGTGGATTATCGAAGAATTAAGATGTTTTATCCGTTGGGTTTTTCAAGGACGCCGTGTTGTTATTGTTTGAAAAGTTAGGATATATGATAATGGATTTTTGGGGTATTCTTTGTACATCGTAGAATGAAAGTAACATCTACAAAGCTGTAGTTGAAGTGAATTCCTAGAACTCCAGAGTATAATGCAGCTATTCTCCAAACCTCTCTTGACTCTGTTTTTCAGAGATTATTTTTGCTTTTAGCTACATGTCTTTCACTGAAGTGGGAGGGCCATCTTTCCATCCTGAGTTGACCCAGGCCGACTGACAGCGTCCTCAGCCAGCGGGAGCGCGTGTGTGTGTTATCCTGAGGTTATTATGTAAGAGCGGGACTGCAACGCTGGCGATTCCTCAGCTAAGAGGAGGATCAGACCCGCACAATCTCTTGAGGGGGAAAAAGAAGGAGAGAACCAGCTAGGGATGAATTTCAAAAAGATAGTTGTTGTGGTGTGCACTACACTACAGTGAGAGTTTTGACACGTGATTGTGGCCATGAGGGCTGTATTGCGCTGGCACGTGTGTTATGATAATTGATTTTTAATGAAGTGAGGATCTCCTGTGTATTTCCTGGGCTGGCCCTCTCTCTCTAAATAGAGTCCTAATTATCTAGATTGCACGGCAGAAAAAAGGCAGCAGCGTAGCACCAATATGTTAACGATACTTCATCTAAAACACAAGTAGCTCTCACAGAGTACCGTTAAGGGTTATGCACACATCTCCATGTTAAAGGGCATCTCTCCCTGTCTAGAAAATGAATGCCGCTAGTTGCTGCTATACATGTTTAGCTTGTGTATGTGTGCATATATGTGTGTGTGTTTGGAGAAGGGCAGACTGGACATGCATGTTTCATTCATTCAGCCTGAGGGTTGGTCTACAACAGAAACATACCCACAGCAACACACACACAATATTGTGCAGCATAACGCCGATATTCACTGGAGGTTGGTGCTGTAGCATGGCAGCTTATGGAACAGTTGAAACCACTTTCTACTATAACTTTTGCCAATGTGAGGCACTTAAGAACTGCAAACACAACTCCCACTGTAGTCCCAGGGGTTGATTAGTTGGGGATGAATGTGGGTGGTGTATCCACTTTATTAAATATATGCATAGCTTCTTGCCAGCTAACTGGGAAAATAAAGGATATGAGCGCTTTACCCCCCACCACTTCTTGTTAAAACTCCAGCGCTGATGTTAGATGTCTATATACTGTGAATTATGCTATCACTGTTCACCATCCATTCCACTTTTTCCTGTGTTCCTCCTCGCTGTAAGTGGCTGTGTGACTGGGAAATCATTTCAGTTTCGGTATTTTATGATCTATTTCCATCTCCCAGCGTAACGCGTCTTCCTTGTTTCATAGAGCTTAGAGTGGTACAAGCGTTTTTTTCCATCGCAGATGATGAATAACACTGAGCAAACTTTTGTTAGCGTGAGTGGATTAACACACACACACATCTGGGAATAGTGTATAGCAGCGCAGCTTGGGTTATCTCCCCTGTGTCTCCTGTCATGTTTCCACATCATACTGTCCCATTAAAATCAATGAAACAATGCCACTGCATATGGTTTCAAACTGACTAACGCTATGTGCTGTCACACTTACTCTCTTTCACTGTCTGAAACAAGAACAAATATATTGAAGAGTGGTGGTCTATCTGCATTTTGATCACTTTTATCATCTTTCATACTTAGTTATCCTCTTTCTTGTCGGTTTGACAGTCAGCATCCGGTATTAACCACAATTGTCTGTTTCAGAGCTTTGGTGGCCACTACAACTATGTCTATATGCAATTTTACAACACTACTGGCATTATATGTAAAATAATGCAATATTATTTTAGGACTAGCACACAAAAAGTAAACTGACAATGACATCTCTTTAGAAAATATAATGCGCATTTCTAAATCATATTTTCTGACATTTCAAATAGCGTAGAAGGCAATAGGTAGATCAGTTGGTAATGGAAATATCCATTTGTTTTGGATCGTAACAGCAACAGTGAACTCAAATCCAGCGATTATCAACCCCTAAACATTTGGAAAACTATCGCTGGATTACTAACATGACCCCTCCCCGTTCA